ATTCCAACATCTAGAGCTTCTAGGTAAGCCTCCATGCGAATTTTTCAATATGGAAAATCATCCCCCTCGAAGATAGGAGGAGGTCCATCCCCGTGAGACATCTTGCTCTAAGCGGTTAGGCTTAAAAACGTGAGCACGAGGCTCTGATACCAATTGAAAGGATCAAGATGCCCAAGAGGGGGGGTGAATTGGGCTAATTCTAAATTTTCTTGCAATAATCAAATCCTACGGATAGCCCAATTAACCCCTTGTGCCTAGAAAAGTGTTTATGTCAAACTAATGCACAACAACCTCGCAACCTATGTTCCAAACTTACTCTAGCAAGCAATTCTATGGATGTGAAACAAGTATTGAATTGCTCAAAGTAAATACTCAAAGTAAGTGCTCAAAGTAAATAGAGAGAGAAAGGAACACGGCGATGTTTTGCCGAGGTATCGGAGAGTCGCCACTCCCCACTAGTCCTCGTTGGAGCACCCGCGCAAGGGTGTAGCTCCCCCTTGATCCGCGCAAGGATCAAGTGCTCTCTACGGGTTGATTCTTCGACACTCCGTCGCGGCGAATCACCCAAAACCGCTCACAATTTGAGTTGGGTCACCCACAAGCTCCGCCGGGTGATCATCAAGCTCCCAATCACCACCAAGCCGTCTAGGTGATGACGATCACCAAGAGTAACAAGCACGAACTCTCACTTGACCACGCGAAGCCTAATGAGAAGATGGATGCACACTTGTCTACTCTTGATTCACTAATGAGGTTTCACTCTTGGATTCTCAAATCACAAATACCTCACTAGGACCTTGCTCTTCTTGGCACTCACAGACGTGTTTCTCAGCTGTTGGAATGAGCAAAAGTAACTCCACACACGAGTGGAGCTTCTATTTATAAGGCAACCTGAAAAACGAACCGTTATGAGCTTCTACGGGATGACCGGACGCTCCGATCATGTTGACCAGACGCTCCGGTCAGTTCAACCCGTGCAACAGTTTCAAAGTGATGACCGAACGCTGACAGGGTCCGGTCAGCGCTGACCGGACGCGTCCGGTCGATCTTGGATGCTTACTGTAAACGACCGGACGCTGGATACACAGGGTCCGGTCACCACTGACCGGACGCGTCCGGTCACACTTTCTCAAGTCTGGACCCTTACTGGAGTCGACCGGACGCTGGCCCCCAGCGTCCGGTCACACGACCTTCCAGCGTCCGGTCACTCCAGACTTGTTCTCCTCAGTCAAATAAACTGACCGGACCCTGCGACCAGCGTCCGGTCGCACCGGAGCCAGCGTCCGGTCAGTATTTGACCCTCCATTCACTTCCAACTATCGATCATATGTGAATGAAGTTTGCTCCATAGGATCTTAGGCATTCATAGGAGCTACCTAGAGCTAGTTTTAACAAGTGTGCACCACATCTAACTCACTAGACTCAACTAGGTCAAGCTACCCGTTCATACCCCCCTCATAGTACGGCCAAAGGAAAAACAAAGTCCTAAACTACTCTAAGTATCTCTCCAACTTCAATTGACACTTAGAACTAGTTATCCTTAACCTTGTCGTCCATCCTTTGAAAACCGAAACGATTTCCATCGTAGGGGCATGACAACCTCAATTGCCCAATCGATCTCCATTACCATGACCTAACTTAATTGCCTCTGCAAAACACACGTTAGTCATAGTAATCTTGTATTGACATTAATCATCGAAATCCACTTAGGGGCCTAGATGCTTTCAGTCTGTAAAGTCATTCTTATCCTCAAATTTATGTCCACACAAATGGAAACTGATGAACGTTGTGCAGCAGGCTGGGCACAAACTGGTGAAATCAGTTTGGTAAGTGTTTTACTAGCTAATTGAATGACTAGCTTCCAATATAGGTCATGTTCGCTTCGCTAAAAAAATAATATGAAATATTGTTCCGGCTGATTTGTCGTGAGAGAAAAATATTATTCTGACTAAAAAATAAGCAAAAAAAAAGTATAAATTATAAGACAGCCATAGTCTCACCAGTCAAACGCGAGTCGTCTGACTGACCTGCTTACCACCCGTGATTTTGGATTCTAGCATCCGAATTAAAGTGAAATATTCAAAAGAACACGTCACTAGAACACCACCACAAACCATTTTGGACCCTACTTTTATTTAAACAAACAAAGAATGAAGCGTGACGGCGACGTAGCTAGTCTATCATCTTCCAGCATGGTTCCAAAGAGCAAGGAACAGAAAAGGATTAGCCGCCTCCACTACATACCGTTTGCTAGCTTGGATGGTCCTCAAGGAAAGGAATTAACAAACAGATTCTGACACAATGCCGGCCATGATTTCGATGGAGACATTGCTTTGGCGCTTCTAATCAGAGAGGAGTGTACGTGCTGCTCAGTGGGGGATTGTCTGTTGACCTATTGACAAACTTTTGGGTTGTTCCCTCTCGTCGTTTCGCTGATGAGTGTTACAAGCAACAATGTGTGTGTATAACGACTCTTTTTATTTAGTATTCATTAATTATGTGGTAGGTACTACTACGGATATAAAGATGCTAACTTTCGATCTGTTAATGGACACAAGCGTTTCCATATGTCATTATTATAGGAAAAGAAAAATTAATGAACCTATTGTACCCCTGTGTAGTGTATGTACTTGTTGAAGAACACCAGGAGATGGGACACAGGCTTTACAACACACACATGTACCTACGTGAACGTGATATGTTAACCTTAACCACCCCATAGCTTTTTTTAAAAAAATAACCACCCCATAGCTGGAAATGCGAATCGGCGCGCAGTCGTTGGATAAAAAAAAACCCATCGTCTTCAGATGGCAGCAGTTTGAAGAGTAATTAAGAGCAAAGCAAATGATACAGCAACCGCTGGTTGTAAGGATCCTTGTTGCTTACCTCTCAGCTCATCCATATATTAGTTAGCTCTTTAGCATTAATACATGGTCCACCTGTCTTTCACATAGAGTTTCTCGGTTCTTATGTCTAAGCCGGCTATAAGCTTACAGCACACTTCTCCTCTCTCTCTTCTCCTCTCTCCTTCATATCAGCGTTTAGCTTACTTACAGCGTGTTATTATACTTGCTCTAAGCAGAGAACGAAGATGATGATTTGCAGTGGGGCCATGCCCATATTCTTCGTTGTCCCATGCAAGTCTGCAACTGCAATCACAAGTCACGAACTCATGCAATCGTGCTCACCAGGTCACCACCATACCAGTGGTACTTTTGCGACCACTCACTTCTTATTGAAAGCGCGCACAGTAGGTGCAGCTTGCCACGCCGGCGCCGTGATGTTTTGACATCATAATCTTTTAAGTCTGGTGGACAGAGCTTGAAGTGGTGCCATGGTGGGCTCCGTTAAACTTTTTTTTCATTTGGGCTCCGTTAAACTTAGCGCTCAGAGTGAAAAAAAAAATATAGACCAGTCCTTCAGCGTAGATTACGTTTTCCTAATGTAACAGGCTTTCTGATGCCTATATCAACGGCGTCATTGCACGGGCGCAGATTTTTTACCATTATTTCTGCATCAGACTTGGGATTGCATTACTTTTGAGTTTTGACAATGGGCAATTGGGCAGTACAGTGTAGGGTATCATGATAAAGGCCTTTGCTCCCCCCAAGATATTTTTTGGCGTTGCAAGATTGGCAACATAGCAACATAATAGTGCAACAGCCATGGACAAGGTAACTTCAATTTGATTTGACAATGGCCAGCTAGATTTCTCGGTAGCGCTTATCCGCAGGCCGCAGCGACGGTGGTGGGTGAGAATGAGAACAGAAGCAAGAGACGCGCATCACAGCGCAGCTGTCACATGTTTCCCCTCTACTGTGCGGTGTGGTGGAAGTGGTGTTGTGGAACACACAGAAATTAGTACTGTACGTAGCGTAGGTGGTTCACAGTGGCAGCCGTAAACGTCCGGGTTGTTGTTAAAATTAAAAGGGATTGAACGAGATTGGAGAGGTCGAGGATCTTGACTTGTAAGGGATTTAATCCTCCTATAAGACTATGTTTGGTTATCATGGAATGAGTGCATGGAAAGAATCCAGCTGGAACTCAAGCTTAATTTGTATAAGCAATCAAACCTAAAATAGTTCTAAGACTAAGCTTAGAATGGACTAATCCCACCAGAAATCATTTTAGGTGATCAAAGATTATATAAATTAGCACAACATTCCAGGTTAAAATCGTTCTAGAAACACATACCCTTGGAACCGAACAAGCCCTAAATCCCTTCCAATCCCCTGGTTTGGGGATTAAACAAACAAAGCCTTAGGACATGTTCGGTTAAGAGAACGACTCCCTGAATAGATTTCTGAACACTCTGCGTCCGAAACCGCGCCCGCCACCAGCCGCCGGGGCGCCGGGCTGATCGCAGCGCCACAACACGGGAGGTCATGTAGTAATTCTTATTTATACAAGTTATATATACATATACGTGCTCACGGGTCACGACTCATAAGTCTATATATGCAAAGACTTCGGAACGAGGGGCTAGCAATGAGACATGCCATTTCATCCGCAGAAGCCAAAGGCAACCGACCGACACAGAAACCAAATCATCGCACCAAGCAAAGATTGCAGCAACAAACGCGAATCACAAGCATACGAGCATGTCAAATTGCGTTGATAGATATACCCAGATTATGATATAGCAGTCTCCTTTCAAGTTGGTTGACTTCAGAAGGCATTAAACAGTTCCCTACGGTGAGTTCCAGCTAAGCCAAACAACCAAAAAAAAAATCTCCCAAAAGGGGTCCCATAATTCCTTCCGCCCAGCCACACCACCATCTGCCAAACAGCTAATGAAGTTCCGACAACATTCTGATCCAAACGCTACTGGGCTCAGTTCTCCTCACCACCGTCGTCGTCGTCATCGTCATCATCCTCGTCCAACTGCAAACCACAAGATGCCATCAAACGAGGGAAAACTTGATCAACAAAACAGAGACATAAATCTAGAAGCCATAATTGTTATTGCTCTATGCTCAAGAATACATTAGCCAAGTTTGTCAGGGAATCAATGCTTTTTGTTTAAGAGGCAGGAAAACACAATGCAAACAAGATAATAAGCTTACATCATCATCATCTTCATCTCCTTCGAACTCATCTTCAACCTCCTGAAAAGAGAGAAGGTAAGGACCAGATAAAAATATTTAAGATAATTGTAGGCATCAAGGTAAGGACCAGACAAAAAGATTTAAGATAAATGTAGGCAACAATACTGACATTGTTGAAGTACTTCAAAGGATTAGGCCACAAGTCTTCCTTGATGATCTCCGCCACCTTCACAATTTGAAATCTCAGAGAACTCTCTCAAAGGAATAAAAATAAGCATGCAACTTCTGGCCTTCCAAAACGAACACATGGAACGGGTTGCCAGTTGATCAGATAAACTAAATAAGTACAAAAATCCAAGCACAACAATTTGCTTGGCAGTCTGAAAAAATTAATTCAATACCAATCAACAAATACTGGGCAAGTTACTTGAGTACTGCGGTTTGGTGACAATGTGAATAACACTGTCAAGAAAGAGTGACATGAGTTTTTACCTCATCTTGCACACCGTCAGCAAGACTCTTGAGCTCTGTATCACCAAACCAGGTGAAAAAACTGCAAGGAAAAACGAAATAAGACGTTACCTTTCTGATTTCCAGTGTAACACTGCAACTGATGAAGGCATAAATGACAACACACTGATGATAGGCAAGACAGTTTTTGCAATAATCAACAAAAGTCTTCAGAATAATCCAATAAGAATATAGTTTAAAGAAAGTTACTAACTACAGTATCTTGCTAAGAACAGGTTTGCAAGTAAAATATAGAAGCTATTAAGTAGGGTATTCTAATCACAAACAAGACTGTTAGCATGTGCAAGTCAAAAAAGACAAGAGGTTGCAAGCATAAGCGTCCAGAGACAAAAGATTGCGAGCATGCGACAAGGTTCACACTGAGAGATGCACACTTTCTATGAATTTATGCCATTTTGGTATGGTTTCCAAGAGAATATCGACTTCGGTTTCTTAAGCGCTAGAAGACAATGGCATATCTGTTGGCCACAAGGGAACATGTATCCAGATTGGCTAAGCGATTAACTAGACGACAAGCGGTGGCAAGCACAGGAAATCAAGAGCCTGAAATGACTTTAAAATCTATATATTAAAAGAAAACTGTAGGGGAGAAATCTAGCTTGAGAAAGGAAACCAAGAGATGATTCAAGGAATTATATGGCGTGTGATTTCGTGATTTTGGTCTCAAAAATGTAATTTAACCAAAATATCACAGTACACATGTATTATACATTCTATATTAAATACTTCATGCCAAAAAAAAACAGGTGTACATTTGTACACCCTTGACCCAATGTAGGACCGCCCCTGGTGACAAAGCACACCAAATTTGGTACGCCTCGTCTTACCTCCTTAAGAACCTTGAACTGACTGTTAAGTTCACAATGGTTAGCAACTACAAGAGCACAATAGAATGGAGTACTTTTTATGCCAGATCTACTTGTATAGTTGTATACTTCCAGAATAAGTCAATGTATCTTCATGCTAAGTTCATTAAAATTGAATGCACAGTTGTCCAAAAGGTCATACATTTGCATGAAGCAGGATTATTTGAAAGTCAGTGACCTCAGACCATGGGAAGAGGTCTACATTAATCAATGCAAGCCATATGTATTATAGTAACGAAAGCAAGAGAAACAAACTGCTTAATCAATCCACTGGTTGTTCATTGGTCACAACAACAATATTGTGCAATACCTCAGTATGTAGTAAGAAATCTACACAAATAACTCAAGAATCCAAGTAATACATACATAACAAAATGTGCGATTAGATATCCTGCTGCGAAATAACACTTCAAATGCGGGTCAATAATTATAAACCATAACAATATGACAACTTAATGCATAAGGTCACAATAAATAAAATCTTAGCACTATATCAACCATGGCATATACATTCAAAAAGTATAGCATCACAGAAGACTATAAACAAAATGACAGCATAGACAACTTGACAATCTAACGAAAAAATAAACATGGTATTAATAACCAACCTTTCCTCTACTAATGGGCGCTTGCTCCCCTTCTTGTTAATACCATTTCCATTTGCAGGTCCCTTCACATACATTATTGAAAAAGCATTAGACTTTCTACATCTAAAACAAGCACTAGGTGTAGTTTTGGAACATGACAGTACCATTCCTTCCTTCCACTTAATTTGAGAAGCTTTTATTGTGGTTGTTCCATCATCAGCAAAGGAATATGTCTTTGTAAGCTTTGTGTCTTCAAAGTACGGGTTCTCAGAGAAGTTCTGCCAGATTTTTAAAATTAAACAAGTAAATACAAGTGAACCAATGTGGAAACTGTAATTGACTGTAAGAAATGATACTTACAAGATGAATGGAGTATCCTGCCTTAACATCAGAATCATCCACATCAATTGAGTCCAAGTACTTGAATATCTGCAAAGAGAGATCATAAGATAACTCTATGTTACATAGATACATGAAGAATAACAAACCTGGTTTTAAATTCAAAAAGTTTATTTTGCTTTCCAATTCAATATTCATAATTTCAAGGGATTGGGAAGTAATTTGTTTGAGGTATAGAATACCTTCTGATCCTCTTCAGTCAGAAGCTCACTTAGTAGAGGATGGCTCAAAAACTGTAGGGTAACAGCATATGACACAATAGATTAGAATCAGATGTATCCGTAAACACTTCCAACAGAAAGACCCATTTGTATAGCACAGAGTAGCCTACGAACCGCTGTGAGCCAAAAGTCCGGGATGGTCTTGATAATGTCACCCCTCTTGAGATAGACAGGTCTGCGAATCTCACTGTATTTCTGCTCCACCTCCATAACCTTGTCACTTGCTTCCTCATTTACCTGTCAGCAATGAACAAGCATTATGTTTCATTCACAAAACTTCCATAGTAAATAGTATAGGCTCGGAAACAAATGATCTCTTTGACTTGTCTAAAGAGGTCATCTTTTTTCAACAAATTGCCTCATATGTATGCCATGGCTGAGTGACGTGGAGTATCAGGGCGTGCAATCAACAAATGAGATAAGGTAGCAAGAGTTTTTGAACACATGATCTGTGTTGCTTAATTTTGGTTATAAAGACATCATAAAAAGTTCCACAGGAACACCCTGCCTCGAGCATCAAAAGTTACACAGTATCCACATCAAAATCACCTAAATGCTGTGACTAAACTAGACATGTTTCGTAACGCTATAAAAAAAATCTGCACCATAACAAAAGTTACTAACCTCATCCGCCAGAAGCAACTTACGTATCAGCCAGGGCACAAGCCTCCTACGCAAGCTACAGACTGCCACTAGAATTCCATCCTCCAACCTCCAGTGGCACAATTGGTACAGTGCCCGAACAAAACTAGCAACAACCGAACCGATACTGCTCAGTGCCGGAAAATTCCGGCATACCACAACCGCAGAGGTTTTCTTCCATGTTCCACACGACCTTACGCTCCTACCCAGACCCCACTGCCAAATCCGACAGTACCGACCACGCACAGCCCACCGCGCCGCACGAAGGACAGCCCAAAAATAGCCCAGAGAGCGGAAGAAGAGGCTTGCGGCTAACCTTCTCGAGCTCGTCCTGGATCTCCTGGAGCTTCTCGATAGAGAGGACGAGGGCGCCGTCGATCTGCTCGTTCTCCTCGCCGCCGTCGGCCTCGGTCTTGGCCTTCTTCCCCTTGTCCGCCGGTGCCGTCATCGCACAGCCGCTGGCCTGGCTCGCCGCCTCGCGCTAGGGTTTTAGCCTCTCGCTGTGTCGCCTGCCTGCGCGAGCCGGGAGAGGGAGGGAGGACGGTAGGAAAGGGAGGCGGAGCTGGGGAAAAGGCCGCGATCCCCCGCACCAACTCTATTATAGAGGGCGGTGCTGAGATTCGCGCTCGTGGAATGTTGGGTCGGCTTCGGGTGGGCCGGGCCGTCGGATCCGTGCGGGACTGTCCACTCCCAGGGGGGTTTTCTAAAACCCTAACCCTAAGGATCGGGCGCGGCGTTCGGCTTCGCCCGCTTGAGTGACGGTGTAGCCGTGTGTATGTAGAGTAGGAAGTAGGAACGAGCCAATTGGACACCTGATTTAGTTTTTCTTTTACTGATTTATATATTACCTGTTTAAAACATTTTTAGTATACTATGTATGCCCGTGCGTTACACTGAGGTCATGATTTTTTACCAGCATATATAAAATAATAGAAAGCTAATAAACAATTTTGCATAGGGTTGTTCTAGTCTATTTTCAAATCCATTCATGCCTTCTATTTTTTCTCTCTACTAGGCAGCGTGCCCGTGCGTTGCTACGGGATAACTAATTTTTGTTAAAAAAAGATATGGATCACACGATATGATAATAATACTGTGAAATTAAATATTGACGTTAAAGTAACATTTAATTCAAAAAGTAAAGTTCGTGAAATTAATAGTCACCGAGAGCAATATAAAATCATAGAAAATTTAATTTAAACATGTGTTATACTGTTACTAAAAATGAATCTTTGAACATGATGAGACTATCATTCCACCATCATCACTGTCATTTCACTCTTGCTGACATAGCTTGTCTTCCATAAAGAAGTCGGTCTACATGCTACACGGGAAACTAAGCGGTGCAGAGACCGTCGACCTCAGAGAGCGATGGCCAATTGAGGTGATGCACACGTCGACACTATGTCCATTCAGCTTTAGTTGTTCCTTTGCTAAAGCATCATGCTCACAAGTTTTTTTCTCATATGACAACGAGCAAATCAATGTGCCCATCACAACGAGAAGAAATGGCACTGCCATTCTCTGAACTAAGAGTGCAATAAAGCATCTAAAGTTCAGTTATCTGGTGCCAAGGTACCAAGGTAATGGGAAACTTTCAATTAATAACTAAATGTATACAAAATTGTTTAAATTAACCATGTCCAACTCCAGAACTATTTCAAAATTTCTTTAAGCATGGTGTTATGGTGGCTTTTGGTCCTTGTACACAGCTTTCAAGCATTAGTTGGCATCACTCTTCAAATCAGTCTTCAAATGCCGCTCCTGCTTGTCTCGTTGCACAAAAAAAAGTGCAGTCAACCCAACCCGTCAGATATGTGGTAGTACCAAACATTTCTGGTCCTCAATATCACAGAATTAAGCACCATTGACAATCGACCCCACGCAGATACTCCAAGATAACAAGAAAAGAGAAAAGTAAAGTAGCCGAAGTTTGAGAAAGACATGCAACCTAACCTTGATAAAGGATTATCGTATCAGCTGTCTAAGCATGGTTAGTGTTATTCATACTCTGTATCCATGTTTTTCGTCTTAGTTTTTCAGTGCTATCTGTAAGTCCATCCTCACTTATTAGGGCAAAAGTGCTCATGATAAAAGGCCTAAAATAACTTGGGGATTCATAAGCCAAGCTACCCATGCTTGGAAGCGGGGGGCACAAGCATCATCAGCCAAGGTGATTCCACATGTCAAAACACACACAGAGTCACTTATAGCTAATGGAACGATATAAGATAGGAATTTTCCTTGTTTTTTAATACAATCACAAAACTTTATGAACCACACCTTTTCAGAAATATGAAAAATTTATAAACCCGTCCAATACCAAAAAAATTCAAAGTCAGCAGTGTTTCATCAATTACTGCTCAATCTCCTAATGAGTTGGTGACCATCCCTGACCCATTACCTTCAGTCTTATGCTTATATTGGTAAATGCCCAAGCGTTGCAATGGGAGCCACAAAAAATGTCAATATTTTGTCTTGCCCGAATATCCTCGTCAAGCGATAAGAAAGATATTCCCTATTGTGTATAGTGAACATTATTATAAATGTATACTGATTTGTGTAAAATTTACAGATAAACAAAATAGATAGAAGAGATATAACATTTCAATATATTTGAGTTTGCTCAGAATTAATTAGGGAACAAAAATAAGGTTGCATTCGGTGAAGTAAATGCCATCAAAATTGTTTTGATGAAAAAAAACTCTTATATGATTGAGCAGTGCTCCTGGATTTTCGACAAAATATGTGGCTATTGACAGAGCAACAAAAAAGGGCCAAAATAATTGTTCCATTTCATAAGCTCATGCGGATTGAAATGCAATTTCTTATCTGTAATAAAACTACGCTAAAAGAAATTAGCGTACCTTTGCCTCCCCAATATCACACAATTGTTTATTTCTCAAGGTGCTTTGTATTAGCTCCCAGTTTAAGCTTCCTTAATGGTATCACTTTTCCCCTCTTCTTTCACAAATGCCTCGGAGAAAATCAAACCCGAATTACTCAAAAACTAAAGGAACTGACAGATGAGAGCCTGAAAGCACTGAACAATACAACGCAATTATTTTTAGAATATCTTGCTCTACAGATGAATCGGTTTGAATCCTTTAGAAAATAATTAAAACAACAAGTTGTGCATAAAACCTTTACTGGTATTTTCCATTCAAGTGCCTGCAGTGAGGAGCTTAGCATTTCATTCCAGCCACAAATGACAATAAGCTGCCCAATTGGTTTTCTAAGCTCTTTGTCAAACAATGATTTTCCTAGGGCCCTGGCAGTCTTCTAGACAAGACCCATGCCCTCAACCTCCCATGAGTAGCACTGCACGAAGCTCAGGATCCGATTCAAGTTCCCTCAAATCATCCTCATATAAGTAGATCCAATTCAAGCTCAGGATCCAATTCAAGCAGAATAGTATTCAGACAAATCAATGCAGACATATTTTTCTGTTTTCTTGAAATTTGAACAGTAACACTTTTGGGGTATATAGCATATTCATTGAATACAACATGACAAAACCTTGTAAAATGAATATCTCAGCCTTTTGAAAGACCATGTATGGTTCACACTAAAATTAGCAGGAATAGAAATATAAAAACTTAGGGTGAACTAAATATCTTAACAAGAACTGCAAGGCATAATGATGGTTGTGGAAGACCGAACAGGCGGATTTGAGAAGGTTGTAGATCATCCAGTGCAGACCGCTTGGCAACTTCTTCTGAGGGGCAGTAACTGTTCACATCAGCATGGAACCTGCGTTTTTTTCTTCTAATTGTCAGATAAAGTTAAAAAATTACTTTACTATATGTTTTCCTTATCATTAACTGAATATACCATGTAGGGTGGCAAGTGTTGAGGTCTGTGATCACAGTTACAAAGACTACTCTGTTCGGTAGGCCTTGGCATTTGAGAACCCACAGAGGAATAAGTTGCATGACGGGGTGGACACTAATTATGATGTTTGTCTTGTACTTCTTTAGTCCAGCCTCCACCTTCCTTCATCCATAAACAAGGCATTTAGAAAAAAAGATATAAGCAACAAGATAAGACGTGGATCATGGTCATGGTATATAAAATACAATAAAATAATTATATAAAAGGAAATATTGGCAATTCTAAAAGGACATATGTTAAGATAAATGTTGCACATGGATAAATGTTGACCCACGAACCTGTGTGCCCTGCCTAGCAGAGGGGCGTTGCCGTCTGCCCTGCAGCAGCCAAGAAACCACGCTTCGATTGGTGCCACCACGGTGTGCAGTACACAATAGCCCCCCATCAGCGTCAGAGACACACCGATCCCGCCGAACTCCCAGACCACCTCACCGCCACCCACCGCCTTGGTCCATGGACTCCTCCATTCCCGCCCCTCGCCATTGAGCCTGATGGACTCCTCCACTACCACCCGTGCACTGCAAAGGCGCCACTGGTGGGCTTGCGTGTGGGCTGAAGTTGAGGCAGCACCACTGGTATGAAGTTGTAGTTAACAAAAAGAACAATTCATCTGAAACATATAGCCATATAGGTAACTCATCCAAAAATTTGTTTATGCAGAACCAACACTCAAATTGGTCCATAGTTTAGCTAGGTGCTAACAGTTCAACCCACAATAAAGAAACCACCTTTTTGCCATAGCGAGAAAGGAAACGAAAGCTCAATTCAGGCCATGGCAGTGGGGGAACTACGTGATAACTTTAACAAAAAAAATGTACCTGCTCTGGCACTTGCCCAGAACAGCGTCATAGAACCTATACAATATGGTGAAAACAATGTAGCTACCCTCAAAATTAATTTAATGGCATCAGTTTACGATGCACAGCAGCAGAATCGAGAGGCGCGTACGGTGTGCGCTCTTTGGTTAGTTAGTGGATAGATGTTCGACAACGTTCACAAAATTCAGTTTTCTAGGACTACTTTTGTCTGAATTATGCAGAGTACCAAACTGCACACACACTCCTAAGGCCATATCCAAATGAGAGACACCATATTTATTGATAGTAAATTTGTAGCGCACATTGTCCTATCCTATTGTTATTGTGAGTTACATTTTGGTGCATCTAGTATGGATAATGAATGATGGCCCTATCACATGCCCAAGTAACTATAAGAATAGAAATCCAGTATGGTCCTCAGTCGCGTCATGTACGCAACCTCCAATCCTCTATAGGTTAAACCAGCATTGGCTCCAAATTTTATGCCATCCCCTCCAAAGACGGCAACACCCATTGCACCGCATCCTCAACACCACCACCATCGGTCCATTGCACAAAGCAAATAGAATAGAATATATCGACACACCCCGGCAAATGAGCAAAGCGGAATCGTGGAGGGAGAATCGAGGGCGCGTCGATGCGCAGGGCGGCGACACGCGGCGGGTCTAGGCGCGGCAGCCGGGCGATCGCGAACCGCTTGCTTCTTTCGCATGCGGTGTCCGGCGGCGGAAAAGCA